GCTAAAAGCAGAGATATGTAACCTGAGCCATCAAGAATGTTGGAGTTAACCAGAAAAATATAAAGGGAGATGGGTGGGAAAGCATATGCCAAGTAGAAGAGGAGAATGTTTGAAAAGGTGTGAAGAGCGAGAGACCATAGTGTATTCTAATAAGTTTCTGTACAATTAGAGCAAAGGACAAATCTGTGCTCCAGGGACAAGAGAGTAGAAATGAGTCTGGGAAAATAAGACCAAAGCAGATTAGGTACATTTTTGTATGTCCTTCTAAAAAGTTTAACAGTTTTGTCTAAGGACAATGAAATCCTTAAGCAGGAGGGTGTGGTGATAAGATTTTCCTTTTAGAAAGGTAGGAAGGAAGGAAGGAAGGAAGGAAGGAAGGAAGGAAGGAAGGAAGGGAGGAAGGGAGGGAGGGAGGAAAGAAGGGAGGAAGGGAGGAATGAATGGAAGGAAGGAAGGAAGGAAGGAAGGAAGGAAGGAAGGAAGGAGAGAAGACAGGAAACTAAAACCTCTCCACCCTCCACCCCATCACGCGCACCCCTGGGGGCGCAGTGGTGGCCGGGGATATGCCGGGCTCTGCGTGGGGACAGATCCTTCTTGAGGGAGGAAAGAAGGAAGGAAGGGAAGGAGAAAGGAAGGAAGGGAGGAAGGAAGGAAGGAAGGAAGGGAGGGAAGGAGGGAGGGAAAGAAAGACCAGTCTGGTATGACAGTGCTTAAGATGGATTGATTGACCTTTGGGTTAGAGATGGGGGTTGTTGGAAAGCAAGGCTGAAGCCAGTGGAAATATTAGGACACTTACAAGTAATCCAAGAAAGAAATGATAAGAACTGAGACAGACAGTGGCGGTGAAGAGGGAGAAGAGGAAATAGATTAGCGAGTTCTATATGAGAGAATGGAAAAGATAAGGTGACAGGCCGAAGGAGAGAGAAAGATGATTAAAGACAACTCCCAGATTTGTGTCTTGGGTGGCTAAAGATGGTGCCTCTTGCCAAGATGTAGATTTAGGGAAACCAGTGTGTCTACAATTTTGTTTTCAAGATACCTCTAGTCTTTGTGTAATAAGGGTAAAGGAATGAGAACAGAAAACAGAGAGACCCAACAATTAAAGCAAAGAAAGGAACCATCAAAGGAAACAGAAGTCAGGCAGAAATAAAGAGGAAGAACCAGAGAAAGCAAAGAAGGTTTCAACTCTTTAGGTCAAACACTATGGAGAACTGAAGTAAAACAAATACTAAAAAAACGAACATTGTATTTACTTACCAGGAAGTCTCAACTAACAGTTTAATGGGTAAAAAATTTCTGTAGGTTGAGTACATGTATGTTATTTGTGCCAATATCTGCTTTCTACGATTATTTTTCTTCACATAGAGTTTCACATGGTCCCCTGAGTTGGGTATGAGTTCTTGAAGTTCTTGAAGGCATAGACTATGGCTCATTCACTTGTACCACCCTCCCCCCTCTTCCCCAATTCCTCACCACCACCACATACACTCAAATGAATACATATAGGGAGCCATGCATTATTTTCAGAACTTATTCTCAAAAGGTAACTGCATTTGCTGGTTTTTTTCAGTATCCTGCAGCCTTTCATTTATGATAAGGTATTCCTTAAGTCTCCTTAATACTTTCTTCATAGTGATGCCAAATACTTTTTCTCCCACATATAACCCATTGTCCTTCAGGGGCCAGTATATACTTCATTAGCAAATGGAATGGTTAGTTAAAACCACAAGAAAGTTTCCTAAATCTCTTTTCAGTCATCTCTTCCACTAGTAACTATGTCAGGTGAAGACCATCAGCATCGCCCATAGTATGTGTGCTTGATATACTCTACCAAAGGATATTTTCAACTAATGAGAAGGAATTTGACATCTTAATTCCTCAGTCTAGCAGCTGGTTTTTAACTTTCTTCAATTACTGCCAAGGTTACTCTAGCCCAATAGAATGCTGTCCATTTTAGTACCAAGGTCTTCAAATCACCATCCTGTCAAGGGTAGGAGTGATTGACTTATCTTACTCTTTGTTATGTGTCTGTACAAGTGTTTATTATGGGCAGGTCACCCTAGGAGACAGATTTAGATCTGTGATGTGGTATTCAAGAAAGGGAAGTTCTTAAGACTAGTTTGAAAGATGCTGCTAATTCATTTGTTTTGCCTGCTTTGCAGCAACAATTGTACATTGGTTCCCGAGATGGATTGGTTCAGCTCTCACTGCACAGATGTGACACTTATGGGAAAGCTTGTGCAGACTGTTGTCTCGCCAGAGACCCCTATTGTGCCTGGGATGGAACTTCATGCTCTCGATATACGCCCACTTCAAAAAGGTAAGATGCACATGAATTTAATATGGCACCTTCCTTTCTGTGCAATGAATATTTCACATGAATACCTTGTCTTATAGTTTAAAGAGAAAATATTATATAGAAAACATGGTCAACAGTAGGAATATTAAAATTCTTTCTTTTATAGTTTAGCATAGCACTGAATCTTTATGTAGAAAGAATGTGAAATTCTGAAATGTGGAATTTAAAAAAAAATTCTGATAAATTGTTTATATTCTTTTCCTTCACTGATGTTAAACATAATTAAAAGTTTTTTTTCTTTCTATTGCTTTACTCTTCTACCTTCCTTCCTCTTTCCATGTGTAGATATATATATGTTTGTAAAAGTGTGGGTTGCATACAATCCATAGCATATCCAGTGACTTGGTATAATTTTATGTTTATAGTAATAACTCTAATTGACCAATTTCTGCCACTCATATGTACTTCAACATCAAAATGGGCCCTCCCATGTGTAGTTCATTGCTTTGCGTGTCTTAAAAACAATGCTATTTTGAGTCAGTAATTCCCAGCTAGGGAGTTATGCTACACACACAGGTAAAAGTTATATGTTCAGAGATGTCCATTTTAGCATTGTTTTCAACAGCAAAATTAAAGGCAAGAACCTGACTGCCCATCAGTATGACTGAAGCTGGCTAAATATATCATGATGTAATTTTGTAAATGTGGAATATAGTAGTAGCACTATTTCCTAAAATATTGTCAAAGTACATTTTCCACTAGGTAAAAAGTCAGTGAATTGTATATGGTATTTTTTTTTAATCTTTAGGTTTTATTAACAAAATAAGATAACAGGAGAGCTAGTTAGTTCCACTCCTGACTATGCACTTTTTCTTTTCAAGTTTTTTTCTGATTTGTCAAAATGCAAATTTCAGAGATCACAAATTTAAGATATAGTATAATAGCAGATACTGATTAAAATTAGGAGGTATTTTATAATCCTTGGAATCTCTGAATTAAGTGTGAGTGGAGATTATTACAAATTGAAAATAAAAAGTCACCAACATTTTATTATAGATTTTGTTCGAGGATATACTCAGCACAGTGAGTATTTGGGGAATACTTTTCTTTTCTACAAGCTAAAAAGTAAGAATTCTCATTAGCTGGTAATAAACCTTCAGTTTGATGAATTGGCCCTGTTGCTTAAGAAGTCAAGATTTAAAAACATTCTTGACCTCTATACCTTACACTATCATAAGTTTTCTTGTACTTCCCCAGACTGTACTGTCAATGGGAGACATGCCACTGCGATGTTCTCCCTTACAAGCACAGTGTCCACATGAGCCAATAAATGTATACGATAGATGACTCTTGCACAGGGCTAACATTGCCCTTAAGAAACACTCTAGATATCGCCAAAGGTTTGCTGTGACTTCTGTGATCTCTGAAGTGCCAATATAAAATAGCCAAAGCAAAGATATATTGTAATTATGTAATACTTGTTTAACTTCAGCATTTTTTTCTTTTTTCATATAATAGTCACTATTTTCTCTTAAAGAAAATACATGACAATAATGCAATAAACCATTATTTATTATTACTATCATCATCATTGTCAACTCTACTGTCAGAAAACGTGAAGTACATATCAGCAGATACAAATAAAATCTTGCCATTTACACCATATCAAGCTTGTACTTCTATTTAAAGTGACAGTATTTACCTTGTTGCTTAATCAAATCTATGTAAGACTGAATCATCATATGATGTGTTTTGTAAGTGTGGGTACTTTAGTGGGTACTTTCCTACCCACTAAAGTTCTTTCTGTCTTAATACTTTCCCATGGCTGCCTTAAAAAGAAGGGTAGGTGTGATTACTCCCATTTGATGTATATAAAACCTGGATTATATTTATAGTCAGCCTATTTTGCTGTCAAATGTTAAAAAAAAGAACACTGTAGTAGTTTAGTAAAATTCAGATCATCTTATTGCTCAAATAGGATTCATGCCATTAGGACTCTACTACTACTACTACTACTACTACTACTACTACTACTATTGTATGTAATGTTAGAGTGATTTGAATATTGACCTACATTTAAGTTGGGTAGTAATATAAGCATAGTTCTGCTTCTGTCACTGTTATTAATGTTAGCCATGAATTTTCTATATTTTAATTATCCTGTTTGAAGTTCTAAACAGTTAAATCCCTTTTTCATAGGCGAGCTAGACGCCAAGATGTTAAGTATGGAGACCCAATCACCCAGTGCTGGGACATAGAAGAGAGTAAGTATAGGTTTAATATGCTCTTCTCTCATTTAAAACTTTAAGCCTAGTCTTTGTGTGTCATTTCATTATATAACTTAAAACATCTATTATACAGGAAGATCTCATTTTGCAAAATGCTTGTACTCTGGGAAGGCATTGGGAGATTTTATAAATCAACACCCTGCCCATGTGCCTAAGTGAATAATCCTTTGTTATATCATTGTTTCATATGACCTTTAACATTTCTATACAATTTTTTTTCTTATTTACTGCCTTATCTATCTTTGTAAAGTTTGAGAACTGCTATTAAAGATAAAACAAGATAGAGTCCAAAACATATGGACATTGAAAGAAAACTCAGAGACCCTGCCAGAAAAGTCTGATAGCAGGGCAGGCTAGGCACTTGTTAGAAAGAAGTATTAGGTAGCTTGTGCATTATTTCTATTCACTTATTAATTCAGGTCTTCAATCACTAAATACTTATTAGTGAGTTGCATGTGCAAATAATTGTCTCAGTTATACTTTGTGAGGCAAAGAAACTCCTTAGAGAGCTTATAATTCTTTGGGGAGATACATAAGGCACAATTAGTGATAAGGAAATTTAGCAAAAAGAGTGATCACCAGAGGCTGTCTAGTTTAGAGGAAATTTCATAGAAAGTTGAATATCTGAATATGATAAGTACAGAGTGGGGAATAGAGAAGTGATTTGTTGAATAACTGTGCAAACAGAGAAAAATCTATAAAATTATATATTCTAGAGCTTTAGTTACTTTCCACTGTCCAGCTCTGCCATCAGATAGGAAATATAAGTGCACGTGCGCATGCACGCACATACACACGCGCACATACACAGCTGGAGGAAGAAAAGAACTGCCTAACCTTCATCACATTGTCAGTAACCACCCCATAATTGAATAAACAGCCCAAATTGTATAGTATATTACTTATGATCCAGCAGTGATTCTATAATTTAAAAATAAAACAATTATTTATAATTCATAATTTCATTCTCCTGAAAAATAAGCTATGGCCTAATCAGGGGTGGGCAAACTTTTTGACTCGAGGGCCACAATGGGTTCTTAAACTGGACCAGAGGGCCGGAACAAAAGCATGGATGGAGTGTTTGTGTGAACTAATATAAATTCAAAGTAAACATCATTACATAAAAGGGTACGATCTTTTTTTTTTTTTTTAGTTTTATTCAATTCAAACGGGCCGAATCCGGCCAGCGGGCCGTAGTTTGCCCACGGCTGTCCTAGATTGTATTTTGAGTTCTCATTCTGATTTGTACATGACGCACAGTCATGTCTAGTGTTTTCTTTGAAAACCATCACTGGGTGCTAAGTGTACAGTTTTCCATGTGTGCATCTGAGGTTTATCAGGAAATATTAGAGTCATTGAAGATATCAGTGAACAAAAGAAAAGAATCTGCACACAATACAATATACAGATGATGTATCATAGAATTGTACACTTGAAACCTATATAGTTTTATTAACCAATGTCACTCTAATAAATTTAATTATAAAAACACAAAAAGAAAATCTGTGCATTCACGGAACTTATATTCAAGTGTGTATTAGGGGAGGTAATAGGCAATAAACATAAAAACAAATAATACGTATGCTCTGTCAGATGACGATACATATTACGAAGAGTTATAAAACACAATTGCTGCCTAAGGCACTTACAATTATTGTCTCCGCTTCACCAGATCCCGTTCTTGCTATAACCCATTGCACACAGGCTTTTCTCAGCTGCAGCAGCACTTGACCCAATCCTTTTGTTTTCAAGGTCACCAGCAATTTCTACTTTGCCAATTCAATGGTCAATTTTAGTTTTCATTTTTATTTAATCTCTAACTCCTTTCTTAAAACACCTTCATTATTTGACTTCCATGCAGTGCTATTCCGGTTCTTATGGCCCCATGAGAACTGATTGTTGATGAGGAAATTTGTGAGCTGGGTTTAAACCATTGGTAATTTGAGGCAGCCTGCAACCCTGGTATGTGCCCTGACTGGGAATCAAACCAGCAACCTTATGGTGCACAGGGCACACCCAACCAACTGAGCCACACTGCTCAGGGCACCATCTGAGTGTTCCTAGGTTTCTTTTTCAACCCACCACCTGAATATTCAATCTCTGCCTATTCACTCCCTAGTACCATCAATGTCAATACTACCATACTCACAAATTCACAATCTAGTTCTGAACTTTCTCTGTATGCCCGACTTGTATGCTCATATGCCTACTCAAGAACCCCTCCTAGATGCCTAAAATCCTCTGAAATTAGATCTGCGAAAGAATTCGTAACTTCTCCAAAACTTGCCTGTTCAGCAGAATTTCTCCTATTAATAAATAGCACCACTGTTCACCCGAATACTTGAGTCAAAAGCAGCCAGTTATTTTTCTTGTATTATTATTTCCAATCAAATTAACAACTTTGTGTCCAACGGTTACTGTTTTTACTGATTTGAAAAAGGATTTCATACAGTCTGCTCACTATTTCACTTTATTAGTTGATTTTGCTAATTTGTCTTTTATTAAAAGACAATTCTTTGGGTGAATCAGTCTAACTGAGTTCCTCTTGAGCCATTGCCCATCACCTAATAATCAACTAATAATCAATCTGCATCCTCCCTGCTTTGTTCATGAACTCCCTTTGCTCAGGAAAACGGTATCTGTTACTGGGAAATGATGGATGTCTTTCTCTTCCAGATTGGCCCTGGTGATCTTTCTGTGCATTAGGAATTTATTATCTGTGAAAATTATAGTTATAATCTGTTCAGTTGGCAGAGATAGTGGATAGATTACAGATTCCAAATGGAATCCACGCATTTTGAAGGTTAGATTATAGACAGACAGATAATGATGGTGTCAGCAGACTTCATCTAACCATGGCTGGTAAAACATGAATAAGTTCAAAAGGGGTTTCTTTTTGAAAAGAAGCCTGACCAATGGGTGTATGTACATTCATGGTATTTGCTGCTAATTTTGTGCATAGATTTAGGATTCACTTAGGTCCCTTCAGCCTTACTCTAGTTTATGCCTAAAATGCTAAGTAGGCCCATCTGCAGAATTGAGACATCTGAACAGACGATGAAAAAGTGCATGTTTGGGCCAGGCTGAGCAGCTGTCCTTTTTTATTTGATCAAATTTGAGCGGCAGATCTTAGATCACACATGGGACACAGCCTTTGGCTACTCAGGATGGAGTGAGTGTATTTCAGATGGTGCAGTTGATTTACGAAATAAGGTGTCTGAGACACTGCTCCTTTGGCATCCCATTAACTATCTTATAGTAAATGCATGCTGGGCTAAAGTATCCTTCTCTGAATAAAAAAAATATACAGGCTGGGACAAAGTAGGTATACAGTTGTTTGTATGGAAGGTAATACAGTAATTAATACATAATAATACAAGAATAAACTCTGTCTCGTGTACTCACAACTGGAAACCTACCTTTACTCCAGCCTGTATTTTGGTAAGTAATATAGATAAGGTCCCGGTTCAGACATGGGAGCCTCTAGCTTGTTATCATTATAGAATTGCATCAAGTATAGAACACTGTTCTTACTTTTCTAACATCAAAATATCTTAATGTTATGTGGTCAGTTTTGTGGACCAATTTATGATAGGATTTCTCTTTAAAGGTAAAGTAAATTGCTCTTTCAGAACTATCTACAAAATTGGTTATATTTTATACAAATTTAAAGGTGTTAAAGCATTAAAAATGTTAATAGTTTATTAGTTTCAGCTCAGAGAAATAGAGTCAATGTTTAGAGTTAGACCTGGTGAATTCTTATTTTAAAACAGCGGTTCTCAACCTGTGGGTCGCAACCCCTTTAGCGGTCAAACGACCCTTTCACAGGGGTTACCTAAGACCATCCTGCATATCAGATATTTACATTACGATTCATAACAGTAGCAACATTACAGTTATGAAGTAGCAACAAAAATAATTTTATGGTTGGCTCACAACATGAGGGAATGT